CACCCTCTGGCAACATGGCCATAGGTATGCAGGCTGAGAATGATGAGCATTGCCAGCATAATCCCTGTGAGAAATGTGTTTTGTCTTACTGCTGTTCAAAGGATAATTGAAGGTTCACATCTAGATACTGTCAGCTGACCTTGCTTCCTGTTTACGTTATTTTTTAATTGACTTTTAATTCTTTATGTTGCCCTGATTGTGAAGGATGTCACAAAACCATTAATAAGGGCAAATGACAAAAAAGGTGGAACTGAGCAAAAAACAAGTTAAGAGATTCTGGTTAAAGGAAAGGAAGTGTAGAAATAGATAATTGATTTTCTATAGACACTGTCTCTATGCTCCTGAGCACCTTCTCAGAAGTACTCTTTCAAGTACCATTGAAGGACTTTGCATGTGGTATGTCTTGTGCATTTCAAATACTACATATATAAAAGATGCATTTCAAATACTAAATGCATTCCAAGTACCCTTGTTGAAGGTATTAAATACAAGAGGTGTTCTTGATGTGAAATATATAGTGAATGGAATCTTATCATTTGATGGGAAAAAGAGAACAACATGCACATACACAAAAACCCAATGAAGTATTCTGGCCCTTCAGGAGCCATGTTTAGAGCAGTGATGGGAAATGTGACCCCCCCCACACACACACACAAGCATGTTCATGGACTTCAGCTTCCATAGTTAGCATAGCCACTGGTGAGGGTGGAGATTTTCATCTTTCCTTCAGAAGAAGCTCTTTGTCCCTCAAGCTCAATCTTAACTAAGAATGCATAAAGTGGCAGATACAGAATATTTTTGGCACACATGTAGACAGTGCTTTTGTCTGGCTTGCAGGTAATCTGTGCCCATCTTTTCCTGCAGCTTAACTACCTGCCAAGTCCAAATCCTGGCTGTCATTACAGAAAGATAGTTAGGGGTACAATCCGTAAATGTCAAAGTAAATGCCATTGAATAAGGGAATTGGAACTTCTGCTTTTAATCCACCGAGGCTGTGGAACTCACTACCAAAAGAGGTTAGTCTGGTCCCCTCCTTGTTGTCCTCCTCCTGGCAGGCAAAGGCCTTTTTATTGAGGTGAGCCTTTGGCAGGATAGTTGGATTGCATTAAGAGGGACTGCCTTTCCAGGGGTGCTTTATCTCATTCTGTAGGTTGGTACAGAATGAATAGGTGAGAAAGCCACGGAGCAGTGAAGAGGTCTACAATATCCAGTATATAAAAAGTATACATGAAGTGAGAAGTTCCCCTCCCATATCATATGGGGTTTTTGTTTTAATGTTTCCAAGAGCCGGTTAACAGTTCTAATCTGAATTTAACTACTCGTACTTTCTTGTTGTTGAGAGGTACTAGGCCTTGATGTTGTCAGTCCTTAATTAGCTCTTAAACAATAGCTATTTTCCATGCATTATAGACATGCAATGTGAATGTTACAGAATCTGTGATTCTTTTTTATCATGATTAGGATTTTCCACTGGCCCTGGCTCTTTTAATGTGTACGTATCTTTTATTTACTGCCAGGCTGTGTCCCAAGAATTGCAGAGGACTCAGGAAATGGGGCAAGGAATTATTCCACAACTCACTTATACTTGTCCATAACTCATCTCTAACAAGTTACAACTTGACCTGTATGTTCTGTAAAATAGAATGAAAAGTTGGAACAGAAAATGAACATTTGGGAACGCTCAAGTATTTTAAAAAAACCTGCTGGGAGATCATAACAGAGATGCTTCATTCTAACAAGTAGTGCATCACATACACCTGCTTAGCTCAAAGCAATATAGGACAGTTAAGCTACTTTACAAATGAGTCTGCTCATGAGACATAATTTAGCATCATACTTTGCTCTTATGTGGTAAACGCAGCCAAGCAGAAATTGAATGCAATCAAAACAGAGTTCTTCAGCTACTTTACAAGCTAATTAAGATAACAGTTGCTAAATCTATCTTCTAGACAGCAGAGAAGAACGACCTGAGCTTAGATTACTCAGTTCTAAGGTCCTGGAAGCTTGGCTGTTACTTGAGAACAAATATATGCCTTTAAATCACGGCAATAAAAAGATTACTGTAAAGGTTATAACATGAATGAGTGCAAATGTTCTACTTATCTCTCTAGTTTTCTAGGCTTTTGCATTATAATAGACCAAATACAGACAAATAAGTATGTGGGCTTTTTTTAAAATCCCTTTCCGAAAGTGGTAGGTATAGTTGCCATAAATCAATAGTTTGTAAGATTGTACAAATAGGTTGCATACACAGTTGTATGTTTGGTGCTCCCCTTTTATATTCCCTCTGGCCATGAGTTATATGGCTGATTATGGAGGTTCATTTGTACAAGAGGGCAGAAGAGTGAGGGTAAGTGCTAAGAAACAAGACCTTCCCTTCTGTTTTGGGAATCTGGCTGCGAGATAATGCTCAGAACAGGTTCCGAGAAGAGCCACATGGTCTCCAAGGCGGCTGTGGAGTTCCTGAACTAGTCTGCTAGATATTTGTATAAGGAATAGCAGAAGCCTCTTTTCCATTATTATTCTCATGTTGGCTCATCCACAAGAAAAGTTACGAGGCAGACAAAGTCTAAAATTTGTAATTGTTTTGTATTAACTAGCGTCTAGTTTAGTGTACAACCTCCAACATATATTTGATATTGTGCAATACTCTTAATGGCTTTTGTTCTTTTAAATCGACTGGTGAATAAAATAACTGAAAGAGCTCTACATTATGTATTTCTGGAGCAAGGGGCTTCTTTTATTTTCAGCAGACTGTCATTTGCTTTTATTTTCAGCAGACTGTCCGTCAATTCTAACTCCAAGATTGTTTAGAAAATGTATTCTTTGTGAGCACTGACACACATTCTCTTTTGGAATTCATATTATATTGTCATTTAAATTTGTAGTTCTCTATGCTGAACCATCCTATAGGAAGGCCTGGACTCTTACAAAAGTAATCTGCCTTTAATTTAAAGCTTTAAAATTGATTGTTGCAATGCTAGTAAAATTTATTTTGTATCTAACATGCTGTATCCAATTTCAAAGATGGTAACAACCTGATGCAGCCTTTGTGCACATTTAATAGAGAACTAACCATTTCCATCTTGGTTAAAATCTGTCTTTGAGAACCTTTTGCAATGAGTAGTAGACAGAAAAATGATTGTTGCGGCATTCAGTAGTAATGGTTATGCTATAGAGATAATGTTTCAGAGCATATGAAAAATACTTTACTGTGGTTTCACTTTAAAATCTGTATTAACGATGGAAGGTATTTTGAAACAAGGGGCAACATTTCAGTGTATTTTGATACACTATTTTAGCTGGATTTATTTTACCCAAATACATAGTTTGGCTTTAACATACTGTATAGTATTTGATGAATATAAGTATTGTATGTGAGGTACAATGCCAGTATGGTGTAGTGGACAGAGTGATGGATTAGGATTCAGGAGGTCGAGGTTCAAATCCCTGATCAGCCATGGAAACTCACTGGGGAGAAGAACTAATAAAACCACTCCTTAAATATCTCACTTTCCTTGAAACCCCTGTTAGGGTTGCTATTGTCACTTCCAACTTGATGGCACATATAAACAACATGTCAGCTGCACATATAATAGGCAAATTATATGGCACACGGATAGGGGCATATGGACTTTTAGGTATTGGACTACAACTCCCATTATTCCTTATTGTGCCTTATGCTGGCTAGGGCTGATAGGAGTTCTCGTCCAACAGCTTCTGGAGGGCCACATGTTCCCTACCTGTAATGTAGTGTCAATTCTTGTGTGATAGAAAAAAGTACAATTTAGGTTTAGTTATACCATTAATTTTTGACCAAACTCCGGGAGGGAGTGGAAGACAAGAGGGCCTGGCATGCTCTGGTCCATGGGGTCATGAATAGTCATACACGACTTAACGATTAAGAAACAACAACAAAATACGATTAATTAAAAACGTTAAGCTTGCAGTACTTTGCTTGTGTAATTCTTGTTCAGTAATGACAAGGAGGTATATGTCTCTGGCAGCCAGGCAGTAGGTTGGGCCCTAGAAGCCTGCTGAGGCAATGTAATTCAACTTTTGCATCATGCCCATGTTGCCTTCGTACGTCAATGCAGGCTATTAGAAGCCACTACACACATGTAATGTGCTACACCTGTACTGTGTAAACCAAGTTGGTTTGCTATGGTGACATATAGATTTATGACTCACCACTTTTCCTTGGCTGCTGTCCAGGGGTGGCTATGAGGATTGTCACTGAATACTGTTGCCCAAGCTGATTATATAGTTCTTCATTCTAGCTTCATTCTAGCTGTCTGTTTCTAGCTTCAGATTACAAAATAAGTTTCATATACTTAGAGCAAATGGCCATTGATCATCATCCTCCAAGAATTCTTCTAATGCCCCTTAAAAGGCATCCAGGCCGGGGGCTATTACTACATCTTATGGTAGTGAATCCCACAGTTTACATATGCATTGTGTGCATAAGGTGGGGGCACAACATAGTTCTGTCTTGCAGAGGAAGGCCATATTGCACAATTTTTTGAATACTCTCAGAGTGGTGGCTATAGATGGAGGGTTACCAATTGCAAGTAGTTTTGCTGGCATTTGCTGATGCCTCACAATTCTACCATCAAGTAGGTGTTATGTTTTCTCTGAAGCACTCTGAATCCTGAGAAGGGATGTGCTCCATACCTGTGTGATGCATTGGTTTCGAACACTTGTTTGTTGCATTCACTTTGCATCTTTTTGGATCTAAAAATAAATGAATAAAACAGTCCTAAAATGTAGAAGAAGAAGCACTGAGAAGTAGAAGCATTCCTTTCAATCCCTTGATTGAGTTGATTAAACAGTATTCTGTGTTATCTGGAATGATTTAACAGGAGGAGTTAAAATAGCAGCTGAAGTTAAAATAGAGGCATTGCCCCTTTCCATTCTGGATGTGTTATGTGTCCTTTGCCACTATGTTCGTATAGTAAAAGGTTGTATGCTTACATTGTATTGATCATTCCATTCTCCAGGCAGGAAACCAGACAGCAACAGTAATTGCATTGTGCTCAATGAGAGATTTTAACTTGTCTCAAGAAACTTGTCAGTTGGCAATTAGAGATGTTGGAGGTCTTGAAGTGCTGATTAATTTGCTTGACACAGAAGAAATCAAATGTAAGGTAAGTTTGCATGTGGGGATGAATGATGGTTCATACAGACTTTAATATCTGCCACGAAAGGACAGATTTTCTCTCCACTTCCCACCACTGCTGTTAACTCTAAATATCTACGTTCAATTTGTACCAATCCAAGGATGACCATAGGATGCTTGGAGAGGGTAGAACAACCACATATATACTGGATCCTTGCACTTCTTGGTTGATAAAAGTTACTGGAGGGCGAGGACTGATCGAGTGGGTAAGGGAAGTTATTAGTGCATCCTTCCATCAAAACAGGGTCCCAGCAATCTCGAGTAAGCAGCAATAAGACTGTTTATGAAAATGCCTTCCTTGAATCACACTGCACAGGATAACTGCTGACCAATTTCCAGTATTCCATTCTTGGGAAAGGAACGGAAGTGTATGGTGGCTTCTCAGCTCCAATGGTTCCTGTATGAGATGGATTATCCAGATCCACTTTAGTCTGGCCTCAGGTCTACTTATGAGAAGGAGACAGCTGTGGTTACCTTGATGGGTGAGCTACACTAGGAAGTGGCTGGGAGAGCTATTTAACACATATATGAAACTGCTAGGAGAGATTGTCAAGAGCTTTGCATTCAGTGCCACCTGTATATAGATGATGCCTAATTCTGTTTTCCATTCCACCTGAGGAATTAAACCAATATCTGTTCTCAGAAATGGACTGAATAAGGCTGAACAACCTCAAGTTTAATCCAGACACGATTGACATGCTGCTGCTCAGTGGAAAGGCAAAACAGGGGAAATGGGTTGGGTCTTTGCTAGATGAGGTTACGCTTTCCCAGAAAGCCTGGATTTGTAGCTTCAGAGTATTCCTGGATTCAGCCCTGAGCTTGGATGGATAGGTTTTGGGATGGTCAGGAGTGTGTTTGCTGGGATGGGTGGGATAAAAATTAAATAAATTTCAAAATTCCTTTCAAAGCATAGAACAGTCACAATTCTGTATTCTTCTAGCATCAGTCAAGCTGCTTGTCTTTAAAGTGGTGAATAAGGAACTGGGAAGGTACCCATAGATCAGATCAGCTAAAGATAGACCAGAAAAGCTTATGGAGAGGGAGATTTTTGTTGCATAGCTGTCTCCCCTCATCTGGACTCCCACATTGATTCTGCTCCCCTTTAAATCAAAGATGTAGGAGCAGTAGGCAGCTGCTTCTCCCACCCATTCTGGAAATAGCCATCCTCTTCTTAAAACACAAGAAAAATCTATCTGTCTTGAAGGACTTCCTCTTTTCTTTGGAGCAGTCTGCCTTCTCATGGTATAGCATTTCGCACACCTTGGGAATCTGAAGAAGCCTATACAGCATTTTTAACTGTCTAATTGGAATATCCAGACTATATGAACTGAAACAAAGAAACAAAAAAAACTTACTGTGAAATTTCTTCCTCTGATTAGATTGGCTCATTAAAAATCCTGAAAGAAATTAGCCAAAATGCACAGATCAGGCGTACAATTGCTGATCTTGGAGGATTGCAAATCATGGTGGATATACTCGATTCTGTCGATCAGGATCTGAAATGTTTAGCTGCCGAAACAATAGCCAATGTGGCCAGATTCAGACGAGCACGAAAAACAGTCCGGGACCATGGTGGAATTAAGAAACTCGTAAGTAGACATTGTAATCAATATTAGGTTTCATATCATATTTCTTATCTTAAAACTGTTTCTATTTTTTCAGCAAAAAGGAGAGATGTTTATATGGTAAGACATTCATTGGGGGGGGGAACCATTCTCACACTTGTTTAACTTAAAACTCTGAAACCTCATCTCATCACTGTTATTACTTAAATTCTAATGTCAAATTTTATTTCATCAACCTTCATCTTGCCAAATATCCATTGCAGTTGGTTTTACTCTTGGGTCTCCTATCTACCAACTAAATGAAAGCAATCCACATATTTATAAATGTGTCAGTGCATGTTGGGTACCTACTATGAGTTAACTTTTCAGCAAGGGCTAACCACCACACATGTATATATGTGCCTCTTCCCCATATTCCCTTCTAACATTCTATACTGATTCCTTTTGTAATGCTATCTAATTTTGTAGGTGTTAAATACCACCTATATAGTAGTTTAATAGTATTCTCCTTAACATTCACTGAAATACATAGATCTCAATGTGGGCTTCTCCATCTTAACTCCTGATTAATCATCTGTAATATTGCTGTTAATATATTTTCCCCAATCCAGTCTTAAATCTACAACATGACATACTTTATATGCAACAAGTAATTAATCTTTTCTATCAGGTCGGACTGTTGGACTGTTCAGCAACAGGATCAGCAAGTCCCACTCAGGGAAAGGAAATTGAAGTAGCACGCTGTGGGGCTTTAGCACTTTGGAGCTGTAGCAAAAGTGCCAGTAATAAAGAAGCAATACGTAAGGCTGGAGGCATCCCACTGCTAGCTCAGTTACTCAAATCTCCTCATTCAAACATGTTAATACCTGTGGTAGGAACTTTGCAAGAGTGTGCATCTGAGGTAAGCAGTGTCACTAACCTTTCTTATTACAGAAGACCAAGAATTAAAAAAAAAAACAGAAATAAAAATGCAGAACCTGAGATCCAGCCAAACATATGGAAATAATTTTTTAAAAGCCAGATCCATATTAAAAATAGTACTTGAAAAGTAATTTTTATGAATTCAGTTAAATCAGCTCTTATCTCAGTTTGGTAACTTTTTAAACACAATGGCCAAAATCACCTTGTGTTGCTGTGTATTGAGTTGTACGTGTTGGCACATGACTAGGAATGCAAATAGCGACTTGTTAATTTGCAGGAATTTGATGCCACAGCTTACACAATTATACCGGTATGGATCCTACATAAAATTCTGACTCATTATCAGTTAAAAATACTTAATTTTTTTCTGAACTGTGCCAAGGTTTATAACTGTATGTGAGTGCAGATAATGAGAACTTTTTGTTATCAGGGCCAAACTGTTGGAAAACAGTTTTTCCCCAGGAACCTTGATCTTTAATTAACTTCATATAATAATTACTTGCCCTCAATTCAATTCTGCCTTGTCCTCAGTTCAATTCTCCAGGGTTTTCTAGGTAGAAAGGACTGGTTTACAATTCACGTCTTCCAGGAGTGCCCTAGGACTGTGCAGCTTGCCCAAGGCTACACAAGCTGGTTCGTCTTCTTGGAGACATTGTGGAGAATGAAACTTCCTACCTCTGACTCTTCTTGGAGACATGGAGAATGAAACTTCCTACCTCTGACTCTGCAGTCAGATACCTAATTCACGGAGCTGTCCAGCCAGCCAACATAATATAATCCAAATATATTTTGTTATGGAGCTTAGATCCTTGATACAAAGAGAGCAGAGAATTCATGTGGTGGATTATTCTAAACTGAAGTCTCATACATCTTTGGATAGCTCTGCACCTTGGTGCATGGTGTCATTTTTGAAATGATCTCACATGTTGATGTTATTTTATGTGTACATGCTGAGGAATAATCTGTGTAAAAGTAGCATAAACATGACTTGGGCCATCTGTAATGTACTCTGCTATACTCCAGATGTTCTGCTATAGTGCTTTCTACTCCAGATGTTCTACTGTAATGCATTTTCTTTTGAATGAAAGCAGTTTATTTGTAAAGAGAACTTAACACACATATCTCTGTTTCTCTCTGGAACCTAATATGTGTAATTGGCATTTGTAGCCAAGCTACAGACTTGCAATTAAGCAGGAGAAGATGATTGAGAACCTTGTGAAAAATCTGAATAGTGACAAAGAAGAGCTTCAAATGCATTGTGCCAGTGCTATCTTTAAGGTAAGGAAAGTTTGCATTGCCCCCTTACCCCGGAATAACCACGCAAGACCAAGTGTATGGGTTGAACATGGGCCACACTTTATTAAATTCCATTCAGTTCTCATGAATATTGCCAATCCTTCAGCAAAAGGGGGGGTCCTGCTGTAGTGCAGATTCTTGGTCAATGGTCAATCTTGGGTTCTCGATTGACCATTGAACGGCGAATAGGCTGAACCCGGGCCTCAGTTATCCCCTTCTTAATTACCGTGGGATAACTACCAGTCCCCATTTTGCCATGGACCCCTTGCCCCTCTCTCTGTGCCAACTGTGGCTCCGTGTGCGTCCCCAGCGCATCTTCCCCCCCAAGCACCATAATCGCCTGATCTGCAGTGCTGGGAGTTCAGATGAGCTACAATTTCCTGCCCGATAAACAAGGAGGAAGTCACGAGGGGTGCCTTACTTTAAATTTCCTCCGTTTCCCATGCCCACCGGCTGTTCTCACAAACAGCCATGATATCACGTGTCATCCGGGGAAGTAGGAAGGGCACGCCTCACTGGGGGCTTCCTGGGCCCCCCCCCGGCGGCGTGGTCATTGCTAGAAGAGGTTTCTATAGTATTATAACATATTGTAGCAGTGCAATTATGTGTGAAGGGAGTGAGGGGAAGTATTTGGATTCTTTTGCCAGAAAAACTCCTCCGTCACCAAGAACCCTGTGTGATTCATGGCGAAGTGCAACAGACAGGGGGTGATGATGGCTGGAAAAGCACAGCCTAATTGCACTGGAGCAGTCTTCCTTAAAGCAACTCCTCTATCTGCTGGGGGATCACTCAAGCCCAAACCCCCAAAGTAGAAGGTACCCAGCTGGATCAAAAAGGTCCAATTTGGGATGGACTGGGCTGGATCACATTTCCCCATGCATTATGTGATTGCCATGAGGTAGATTGCACTGGACTACTCTACAAGAAATCCTAACTGCAATCTATTTCCCTGTGTGATCACACCCTAATGAAATTACCAAGAGTGTAAGAAACTAAAAGGAAATAGTAAGTAGCCTGATTAGCAATATGCTGAAACCTCTGGGTGTGGATTCAGATTGGGGGGCACAAAGTGGACCAGCAGAAGTGGACTTTCTGCCCACTCTTCCCCACAGCAGCCACTTCAGCCACTTGAAAATGCTGCAGAAAGGAAGCTTGCAGAATATGTTAGTTGTGTTGTAGGCAGCTGAGCGAGGTTCCTTGAAATATGGGTGAAGTCCACATCTCCACGAGCCCATGGATCTCAATGTGACATACTCTTTTTCTGGACTGTTGTTCTTAGTTTCACTATGAAAGTAAAGTAAAGCTTGGTCTCAGAAATTTAAATATTGCCAATATAAATCACAGCTATTTATATAAGTCTGTTTTATAGATCTTTGCTGTGTGACCTTGTACTTCTTCTTTTTTTAATATAGTGTGCTGAAGATCAGGAAACACGTGACCTTGTTAGGCAGCATGGAGGCCTTAAACCTCTTGCTACTTTACTTGCTAATTCTGAAAACAAAGAACTTCTGGCAGCAGTAACGGGAGCAATCTGGAAATGTGCAATCAGCAAAGAAAATGTGACCAAGTATGCATAGCTTTTGTTAAATGTATAAAATACATAGAAGTTGGCAACCTCTGACAAAATGACAAAAATAGAGGTTTGACCCACTTAAACGTTCAAGCAGCTCTGTATGAGTTAATCAGTACCTTTTAGCTATTGCCTGTATAGATTTATGTGTACTTGGAAATCAGACTTTCAAACTCAGCTTTTCTAATTCTGTTGATCATGCAGAAATCCAAATAAGGTAAAATATTAATCTGTATATTTATCAATTTTATAATCCAAAGATACACTAGCATGTTATTCCCACAGAACCCTTCTATACTCCACTTGGCTATTCTAGATTTAAAGAAATGTTACCTTCTCTTGCTAATATTAAAATGAGCTTGCATATATGTACATCTGAAAGAATTATGACAGTAATCTTGTGATAGGTTGACACTATATGTATAACAATTTCAAATTTGTATGAAAAACATGCTTCACTTGAGAAGTTCTGGAATGGGAGTTCCTCTAAAAATTCGTAGCATCTTCAGAAACCATTTATCATTCCCCGAATGTTTGAAGGAAGGTGTGATACTTTTAACAGTACGCTGTAGTTGCATCCTTAGAAAGTAAAAGAGAAGTACAATACAACATATACACGAAAACGTGGACCCAGTTTTGGTCTTATTCACAGTAGACCTGCTGGAATTAATTTAATCATAGCTTCAATTCATTATTTTCATCTGGTCCACTCTAACTATAAATTTGGATTTTTTATTTTATTTTTCGGATTCCCTGAATAATGAAAATTTGTTTGTACTTGTGGAAACAGCTAACGCAATCTATGAAAATGTCAGCCTAAATCTATTGCTAATGTGGACCCACTAGTCAATGGTTTATGCAAGTGTTGACTGGCCATATTCCCATTGATTTAGTGGGTCTCTCCGCCTGGGACTAACCACTGAATTTAGGTCAGTATTGGTTATATTGTTCTAGTGAAATTAGCTTTGATGCTTTGTTGTGTTCTTTTAGATTCCGGGAGTATAAAGCTATTGAAGCTTTGGTTGGCTTGCTAACAGACCAGCCAGAAGAAGTCCTTGTGAATGTTGTTGGAGCTCTCGGTGAATGTTGCCAAGAACAAGCCAATCGGAGTATTATTCGCAGGTGTGGTGGCATTCCTCCCCTTGTTGCTTTACTCACTGGAACCAATCAGGCTCTTCTTGTAAATGTTACGAAAGCAGTGGGAGCTTGTGCGACAGAACCTGAGAATATGATGTAAGTGCCCTTTTCAAAATATACTGAGCTCTTATTGGCCTATCTTGTTGATGTTCATTTATTAGTTTTATAACAAAGAGGAAGATAATCATCATCATCCATATCTAGAGAGTGTCCCTGTAACTCCAGTTTACTATAACAGCAGCAGCTCTCTCCAGGAGAGAGGTCTGTTTTCTTGCATGCAGGCATGTATTCTGCCTCTAAGCTGTGGCCTTGGCCCTTTCGCCAGTAATATCAGAATATTAAACTTCCGAAACTGGATTGTAATCTTTTATTTTTCAGTGTGTTGGGATGAACTATGTTTTCTAATGTTTCTACACATCTCACCTTGAAAAGAATAATTTGAATCCTTGGCTCTGTGAGAGGGCTTTTCTGAAGTGCTGTTTAGACTGAATTTTTTAATAGTAGTACACGGAAAATAAACAAATATGAAACTTTTTCTTCTTCCCTTTCCCCCCCCCTGTCCATTGCACAGTAAGAGTATGAACTGGACAAACTGTTATTTTATTAAGAGAGTTATTGATGTTTGACTTGCACAATGTAAAGCTTGTACAGTCTGAGACCCCGGCATTTAAATTCCATGAAAAATCCTCCAGGAAAATGTTCAGGTCAGCAATTGCTTATACTCTATTTGGGAGAAATCTACACCAAGATGGTGGCACAGATTGCTGCTTATATATAACCAAGGAGATATCTATCTCCTCCTCCTCCTCCTATTCTGTCTCTTTTAAAATACTTGATATTCATAGAGTGCCATAGTGAGCAATTCCAATTTCTTGAAAGGGGTGTTTGTTTCCATGCTTTGGCTGTCACCCAGTGGCAAGATAGGGCAGAAGTGTAAACTTGGTAAATGTGAACAGGGCCAGTCAAGTGGTGGGGAAGGTATGCATAGATTGAACCACCTCCACAACCAATCTCACAAAGAATTGCAAGTGATCTTGTATAATTTTTGCATTAACCTCACAGCAGTAGTGCCATAAATCTGAAAAGAAATCCAAACAACCTGTTGGCAGGAATGAAACCCCAGGAGGATCCCAGTGTTCCAAGTCTAATGCTCCCCAATCCAGCTTCATATTAAAGTGTTATGCGAACAAAAACATCAACATCAACACAAATTAAGGTCTAATACTGTGGTCTCTCAAAGTTCACCTTGTTTTAGATGGAAAAGAGATACTGCTGACAGTTTGGGAAGCAGCATGACTACTGTGGGCGATCCGTTGCTGACTGAAGTAGAAGTGTGATCTCTCTATGCATATTTTGCAGTGCAGGAAGGTCTCTCCATAGTAGTTTGCAGCCCCCTTTGATAGTTTTCAAAAAGCAGATGATTTTGTGTGCTTTAAGCACTGTAAAGTTACTTCTAACCTGTGGTACCCCTATGAATGAATGACCTCTTACAGACTAAGGCTGGTGGTGTTCTTTATTGGATCCATTCATTTCATGTCAGATCTTCCTCTTTTCCCACTACCTTCCACTTTTCTTAATATTATTGCCTTCGCTTGTAATATACACAATGTACGATAGTCTTAACTTAGTCATTTTAGCTTCCAGTAACAATTTAACCTTTATTTGTTTTAGCCTACTTGGGGTATTGGGTTGGGTTTTTGTTTTTGTTTTATGGCAGTCTTTTATATCCATAAAGCTCTCCTCCAACACTACTTTTCAAAATAATAAATCATTTTCCTGTCACCATTCTTCACTGTCCAGCTTTCACATCTGTGCACAATAATCAAGAATATCCACAGTTTCCCCTGATCCGTGTCATTAAAATGTTTACTATAACCTACAAACATAAATGATTTTCTTGTGAAAATCTTTAGTATGGTCCAGTAGTCAACATATAAGTGCAGTATGATCTCTAGTGCCTCTTACTTTTCTAAATCCTGATTGAACATCTGGCATTTGTTGCTCCAGATGGTAACTCTTTATCATATAATCTTGAACGTAAAGTTCTTTGCATGGAGAATAATTGCAACGTTCTGATAACTGTGTCAAGTTGCTTCCAACTTATGATGACCTTTCCCATGCTTTTCAGGGTATAATGTATTCAGAAGTGGTTTGCCAGTCCCTCTTTCTGATGGCACTATGGGACCTATGCAATTTGCCCAAGGCCACACAAGTTGGATCTTCGGATAGGAGGCACAGGAATTTCTGACTCCTGATTTCTGACCCTTACTTCCATAGGCAGGCACTCCAAATCACTAAGCTATTCAGCCAGTGGCTACTCATTGGCTGTAATAATAATA